CAAATGGTAACAATCGATATTATTAACAATATCGTTAATAAAAGTAAATAAAAGCAGAGGACCCATGGATGAGCCTGAAGTTGGAAATATATTTTTGGATTTGCTACCTCCGAAGTCAATATATTGCCTCCTGCCTGACAAATATGATCTGAAAAGTGACAGTACGCCGGGAGATATACCAGCATTGTCCAATTTCGTTAATAGGATGTTGTGATTGGGTTTGTTAAAGGCTGTTTATAGTGGACTGAACGTTATGCATTAAGAAATTATGGAGTTGCAAAAACCTTAGAAGAGTTAGATGCTGACAGATGACTAAAGTAGTCATGATCAAGAAACGATGGGATGCCATCTGGTCCACAGGTAAATTATTCTTCATCTTCTTCAGTATCTTGGGTACTTGGTGTTCGGAAAAACAGTAGAGCACTACGCTATTATTCAGAAGTCTTACACTAATATCAGACGTAAACGGACTGAACGAAATCTGCGAATGTCACCAGGCTTATTATTTACTTTGTAGTAATATTTTAGCTCGGTGACTATGTGACTTTTTTCCGTTAAAAAAGGAAATGCCCATCTGTCCAAACATTTCGTAATGGCCGTTTCTGCTAGTAACTGGCACTCGTACTATCGTAAATGAGTAGAGTCGTATAGTTATACAAGCCAGCAGTCAACTATATACGTCCCAAACCGCGGCAGCTTTTCTATTTCAAAACAAATCTATTAAACGGATACCATCCTTTGAATCAACTATTTTCATTGATATTTCAGATGTGGTTTGACTATGTGCTCACATATTAACTCATGTAAACCGAATTGGCATGAAATGCCAGAAGCTATGATTGATATTTTTTTGAAACATTTGGTCCACTTATTGCCTTATTGACTCGTGTACTTCTTACGGTATCCCCTTGCCTGTTAGGGCGGTCCTGTACAGATTTTTAAGATGTAATTCCTCCCACCGCTGCAGTCGTATCTTTATTGGGGGCCCAGTGTTTGAAACACAGATTGGACGTTCGCATCGCGTAACTATTTTTTGAGTAAGACTAATCCCTACAAGGTTACAGGTTCGCATCTCCATCCTTAATTTTAATGAAAAGTCAAAAATTATTTAATTTGCTCATCTCATGTATTCTTTTTTTCCTCTAGTTTAAGACATAAACGAAACAGTTGTGCATATGATCTCCTTTATTTAATTGTAATTTTCCACATTGCTAAGAGTACATTGTAAGATGTGTTGGTTCTTTGAATATACCTGTTGACTTCACCTGATGCAGAAGCCATGTTGCCATGAAAAAACCTACAGTAAATTGGAATTGTAAATTACAATAAATAGGGCATACATTACTCTATATTCGGCTTTTCGAAATTAAAAACTCATCGCAGCATGTGCTTATGTGGGCAATATGCGCTAAGGTGCATTTCTTAAAAGATAATCATCATAACTTAACTCATCGATCCAAAGAAGTTGAAGTTCCATTAAATGGGTTTCGCTCTTAGCTATACTGCACAGCACACCTTAAACAAGTTTGGCTGAAAGAGGTTTCTGAAATCAAAAAAATTACATGAAGCATTGTCACACAGGTCTCGTTAATTCGCGGATGTCGAGCACCACGATAGGTGTTGTTACAGGTTCACATCTACATCCATCTGGTTTCATACGTGAATGTGAGACATGTTCATTTGATCCTCTTTAGTTGTAATTATCCGCGACGTTAAGTAAAAGTACATTTAAGGATGTGTTTCTTTGGAGACACCTGTTGACGTCACCTGGTACAGGAGCCATGTCTTCTTGCATAAACCTACAACAAAGTTGGTCATTATAATTGTAAACTACAGTAAATAGGGCATAAACACAACATCTTCATATAAACCGAGCATTTCGATCGTTCGATTGGTTTTGATCGCAGCACGTGCTTATGTGGGCAATACGTGCTAAAGTGCATTCCTCAAGAACTCGATTACATGTGACTATCCGCTTTGGTCATTTACACAGCCTTGGGAGGATCTACATTGAGCTTGTCTGCAGAAGTCACACTCCCTGTTCTCTCACATTGTGAATGTCCACCAGACCCAGAAAGTTCGTGGTATCCTCATACCTCTTCCGGGCTTCACTAGACATTTTCCAGTAGCGTTCAAGGGTTGGAAAGAGGTTCCTGAAATCGAGAAAACTACATAGAACAATGTCGCCGTTTCTCAAATGGGTTGCTTTGCTTTGGTTTTGTTATGGGCTGTCCTACAATGGAGTCCTTAGCTATGCACACCTAAACCAAGTTTGGTGGAAAGAGGTTTCTAAAGACAAGAAAATTACTCATTGTCACGTTCCTGGTAGATGAGACGTTATAAGCTGGTACCGGGCCCCACGGGTGTTCTTACAGGTTCACATCTAGATCCTTGATTGTAATTGAAGGTTATAGGATATTACTCATCTGGTATTATTCTTATAGCATTGTATTTATTTATTCATCTGTCACACAGGTCTCGTTAATTCGTGGATGTCGAGCACCACGATAGGTGTTGTTACAGATTCACATCTACATCCATCTGGTTTCATACGTGAAAGTGAGACATGTTCATTTGATCCTCTTTAGTTGTAATTATATATGGTCTATGCACGCCTGAACCAGGTTTGGTGGAAAGAGGTTCCTGAAATCAAGAAAACTACATAGAACAATGTCGCCGTTTCTCAAATGAGTTGCTTTGCTTTGGTTTTGTTATGGGCTGTCCTACAATGGAGTCCTTAGCTATGCACAACTAAACCAAGTTTGGTGGAAAGAGGTTTCTAAAGACAAGAAAATTACACATTGTCACGTTCCTGGTAGATGAGACGTTATAAGCTGGTACCGGGCCCCACGTTGGGTGTTCTTACAGGTTCACATCTAGATCCTTGATTGTAATTGAAGGTTATCATAGGATATTTAATTTACTCATCTGGTATTATTCTTATAGCATTGTATTTATTGATTCATCTGGTTTCATACGTGAAAGTGAGACATGTTCATTTGATCCTCTTTAGTTGTAATTATCCGCGACGTTAAGTAAAAGTACATTTTAGGATGTGTTTCTTCGGAGACACCTGTTAACTTCACCTGGTACAGGAGCCATGTCGTCGTGCATAAACCTACAACAAAGTTAGTCAATAGAATTGTAGACTAGAGTAAATAAGGCGTAAACACAGTATCTTCATATGGATTCAGTTTTTCGATTGTTCGATTGGTTCTGATCGCAGCACGTGCTTATGTGGGCAATATGTGCTAAAGTGCATTCCTCAAGAACCCGAGTCTCGATTACACGTGACTATCCGCTTTGGTCATTTACACAGCCTTGGGAGGATCTACATTGAGCCTGTCTGCAGAAGTCACACTCCTAGTTATCTCACATTGTAAATGTCCACTAAGCGGGCTCCTATGCATTCGTATATTCCATTGATTGTAGTTGTAAATGGATCCAACAACCAGTTGACAGCTTGACTGAGGTCTTCTCCAGAAGGTAAGAATACAGTTTCTACCATCATCACGGTAACAGGTCCTGCTTTTCCAAAGATAATTGAGGATGTGCCGAGACCCAGAAAGTTCGTGGTATCCTCATACCTCTCCTTGAACTTCCGGGCTTCACTTGACATTTTCCAGTAGCGTTCAAGGGTTGGTCTTGATCTATGCATGCCTGAACCAAGTTTGGTGGAAAGAGGTTTCTAAAATCAAGAAAATTACACATTGTCCAAAAAAATTACATGAAGCATTGTCACATGCCTGGTAGGTGCATTTGTCACAAGACGACCTCTCGATTACATGTGTCTATTCGCTTTAGTCATTTATACATTGAGCCTGTCTGCAGAAGTCACTATGCACGCCTGAACCAAGTTTGGTGGTAAGAGGTTCTTGAAATCGAGAAAACTACATTGTCGCCGTTTTCTCAAATGAGTTGCTTTGCTTTGTTTATGGTATGGGCTGTCCTACATTGGAGTCCTTAAAGTGTAAGGAACAAGAGAAATATTCCATGTCAGTAATTTCATCTTACTCTAATTACCCCAGTTTTCAAGACAATCAGATCCTTTAGCGCTGTTGATGAATCTCATAGGAAATGCCAACTGCAAGCCCGTCCTGAACAAAATTTGGTGGAAAGAGGTTTCAAAAATCAAGAAAATTACACAAACATTGTCATGTTCCTTATAGATGACGTTATAAGCTGGTTCCGGGCTCCACGTTGGGTGTTTTTACAGGTTCGCAACTACATCCTTGTGTGTAATCCAGAGTTGTCATAAACTATTTAATTTTCCCACATGGCATGATTCTTATAGCTATTGTATTTATTTTTCCACCTGGTTTTATACATCGTTCTAACCGGTCCAACAACCACTCGACAGCTATGATATTGATGACACTTCAATAGGTAATCATGTAGTGTCCAATACTATTACCATGGTAGCAAATCCTGCATGTCGCAGTTATCTTTATATAAATAGCGACTGTGCCCAACTTATCCATAGGGTGTACCGAAAATATGTAGGAACAATCCGAGTAGCACCGTCGAAGAGTCTAGGCTTTATCAGAAGTTCTTCGAAGCTTTTTGTCTCCATCATTTTTGCGATTCACGAAAAAGTGTGGTGATCACAGCAGGTGGGTATGAGGACAATGTGCGTTTAGGTACATTTTCTAGAAGACATACTGTGCGGTTTGGTTTTTTCGACTAGTTCTGTTGGATTCGCATTGAGCCTGTCTGTAGTTGTACCACCACCCATTTCTTCAACGCTGAGAATGTCTAGCAAGCTGCTTCCTAAGCAGACGGACATCACATTGATTATAATTCTAAACGGGTCCAACAAGCAGTCGAAAGCTTTGATATTGATGACCTCTTCAAAAGGTAATCCTGTAGCCGCTAATACCATGACAATGGTAACGAGTCCTGCTTGTGGGATCCCCGCAGCAACTATACTAGCTACAACTGCTATTACACAAACAGCAACTGTCTTCCCGACAGACGTATCAATGTTCTTAAGTTGAGCAATGAAAATTGCTGCCACAGCTTCGGTCAAAGCTGTTCTGTCCATGTTTATCGCAGCTCCAATCGAAATAACGAATCTTGTCACTCTCGGATCTGGTCCCATCTTGTCCACAGTTTGGATAGTGATTGGCAATGTTCTGAAGGCCGTAACAGCACTTGACTCAACTGGTCAATTAAAGGGTAGTTTTCGTACTGCTACAAAGAAGATGGCACAGCGCGAGGGACGAACAATCCGAGTAAGCTCTTCGTTTTTCCTTTGGCCCCATCATTGTTGCTATCACGAGAAAATATGGGCGAAGTCCAGATAACCGAACTAGTAATTAGCATCATAGCTTCCCAAAGAAATATAGGTGTATTTCCTTTTTGGTCCAAGCTTTTCCATAGCTGCTCAAAAGATTTTAAAATAATATACAGTGTGAGTCTTCATAAAGTGCACATAGCAAAATCAAGAGAACTACGCCTTATTTTATTGACGGAAAAATTATCAAAAAAAAGTTAAAAACAGTAATTGAATTTTTATGAATATTTTAAAATTTTTAGAGTCAGCTGCTAACCCTATTTAAATAAATCGTTACAACTTTTAAACTGAATGTCCTATCATATTGGAATACATTTTGTAGTGATTGCAAATAATAGGCCGTATCAGTAAAGTGAAAATTTCCACGAAATTAAATGCTATAAATTTAAAATAAAGAGGAATATGCTGAAACTCACTATTTTTTCAATGATTTTTAAAACAATTGCTAAATTTCAATAAAAATTGTCCTATTTACCCTACCTTTTTTAAATGTTAAGTTATTCTACATGTTATTAGCTTCCTAATGGTGAAAAATTGCAAGTTTATAACTGAGATACAAGTTTTTAAATCAGCGTTTCAAAAAGCAGTGAACTCATTTCAACGCCAGAGTAGGAATGAAACAACAGTATTAACCTACATGAATCATTCATTATCTTTAACAAATAAAATCAAAGAGACTTGTCTATAGGATAATCATTTTGGCTTAATGCATCAAATGTTCAAAACGGCCACCCCGTTGCTGCAAACACATTGTAGCGCGAAGTGAAATTTGATGAGTTGCCCTACGAATCATCTCGGGATCATTTTTGATTTCGTTTGCAACACGCAAAACTCTTTCTCCAAGTTCCGCTTCGCTGTTTATGGAACTGCTGTACACCCTTTATTTTATTGTCCCCCATAAAAAATAGTCGAGAGGTGTGAGATCTGGGGAACGCGCCGGCCACCCAACAGGTTCTTGTCGACCGATCCAGCGGCCTGGATAATTTTCATTACGAAAAGACCTGACAATCAGCGAGTAATGGGCAGGACATCCATCCATTTGAAGCATCATTCTTCGACGGGTTTGCAGCGGCACTTCTTCCAACAGCAAAGGCAGTTCAGTCCGCAAAAGCTCCAGAAATCTCCTTCCGTTTAATGTCCTCGGGAGTATTATTGGACCAATCAAAAAGTTGTCAATCAGTGCGGCCCACACATTTACAGAAAATTTCACTTGAAATGTTGAAACCCTTTTCAGCCTAGGGTTTTCATCTTTTGGGCACCACTTATGTAAATTACGACAGTTCACGATGCCGTCTCTCGGGAATTGAGATTCATCTGTCCACAGAATTGTTTTCGGGAATTCAGGATTGTCTCTTGTTTTTATTAAAATCCATGTAGACAACCCTGCTTTCCTCAAGATGCGCCAAACCGATTTCTGGGATACGCCATGACGTAACGCCAAACGTCTCGTACTAGTAGTCGGGTCAGCAAACAAATCATCCAAAATGGCTTCTTCGATAGCAACATGAATAATATCTCCTGGCAAACCAAGTCCAGTGTTAGCCAGTCTTCTATGTACTTCTTGGAAGTTACGGGCTGATGGAACAGGGCGTCGATTTGGAAATGCAGCTAGATAAGCTGTGCAAGCAGCTCTAGCGCTCCCTCGGTACATTCCATAATAATAATGGATATCGGCAATGTATGCCGGAGGGAAATCACTTATACGTGGCATCGCGACCAAAAAGCGAAAGCGTGATATGTAGCAAACGAAACAGATAAAGGTGGCAGGAGAAACACAAATAGCTGCCTAACTGCCCAACATTCAATTGTTTTTCAACTGGGCCCGCCTCCCCACTTGTACCTCAGCCCGCGCGACTCTACATTGAATCACCAAAAAAAGGTATCTACATGATAAACAATGGTGCCTAGCAAGATGATGCGCATGGGCTTTTTTATAAACACTCATAGAAACTGTTACATTTGAGTAATAAACGTGCAATTTTTACTTTTATGATAACATGTAGAATAACTTACAAATAAAAAAAGGTATGGTACAAGGGAGGATATTTATAGAAAATTTGAAATTATTGTAAAAATGATGAAAAAAAAAACAGATTTTCATCAAAATTTTCTTTATTCTAAATGGATGTCATTACTTTTTGTGGAATTCTTCACTTTTCAGGCACGTCCTTTTACCAGCAATCACTACAAAATGTACATATTCCAATATGATAGGACATTTAGTTTAAAAGTTGTAACGAGTTATTTCAATATGGTTAGAAGCTGCTACTAAAAATTTTAAATTATTCATATATTCATAAAAAATCAAATTCATGTTTTTTTGATGATTTATCCGTCGATGAAATAGAGTGTAGTTTCCCTGATTTTGATATGTGCACTTTATGAAGACTCACACTGTATAAATATAAAGACATAGAACGTTCATGGTATTTTCATACCTCTCCTTGAACCACCATTTTTCCTTGGAATTCCCCTGTAGCATGTGTGCATGCCTGTACCTTGGTGGAAAGGTTTCTGAAATCGAGAGGATGACATGAAGCATTGCCACCTTCCTAGGAGAGGGACGTTAATTGGCTAGTGTAAGGTTCTACATTGAGTGTTGTTACAGGCTCGCATCTACATCATGATTGTAATCGGAAAAACAATTAATTTACTCACCTGGTATGATCCTTTAAACTACTGTATTAATAAGCGAGATATATGTACATTTGATCCCAGTTATTTAATAGTAATTGATATCCACGGTTGTAAGTAATAGTACATTGTAAGAGTTTTTTCGGAGACACCTGTTGACATCACCTTGTACAGGAGCCATGTTGCCATGCGTGAACCTACAACAGAATTACTAATTAGAATTGTATATTGCTATAAATAGGGCATAAACTCGCTAAAAAATAAATTAGTATTTACAAATGTAAATACTGATTTAGATAAAGGTTTAGTGAGTATATGCCCTATTCACAATTCTAATTTTGTTGTAGGTTCATATGTACATGCCGACATGGCTCCTGTACCAGGTGAAGTCAACTGGTGTCTCCGACGAAACAGACCTTACAAGATACTCTCTTACAATCGTGGATAATTACACTTAAATAAGGGGTATAAAATGTACATCTCTCTCGTTTATGTCTAAAACCAGTTGAACAAAACAATGCAATAGCTAAAAGAACGACAACGGGTGAGCAAATTAAATATTTTATAAGAACGTCCGATTACAAACAAGGATGTAGATGCGAATCTGTAACAACATACAAAGGGGGGGCTGAGATCAACGAATCAACTCACCTACCGGGCAGATGACAATGCTGCATGATGTCTTCTCTATTTAAAAAACCTCTTTCCGGAAGATGTATGACGATACCATGAAAAAGTGGTACCCTTCGATGTCTTTGGGTCGATTGTAAAGCTATGATGATTATTACTGGGTGGATTATCTGAAGCTCGCCCATGTTTTCTCGTGGCAGCAAAAATGATTAGGACAAACAGGACAGTGGGGAAATAATGAGTAATTGGCTTACGCCTGAGAACATGTAGCACTTTTGAGGCTTGGAAAGTCAGATTTGTGAAGATTTTGACCGTACTTTATCCTGCCCGTTACTTGACACCTCATAAAATCGTACAGTACCGTGCGTGTTTTCTTGTTACGGTTAAGCAAATCCATTGACAATTTTCGTCTCTACTTTTATTCCACCTTCACTCACACACTTTTAACAAGCGAAACCTATTTTAGTTAGACCGGCACGGGTATTATGTGAAAAACCTATAAAACGTCAAAGAACTCATCCTGATGACATTCGTAGGGCTTCAAATCTTGCCCATGAAGTGAGAAACGCACTGCACGAACTCCGCAACGAGCAATGGAGCGACTTTGTGGCGGGAATGCTTGATTCAAGTATTCCTCTCTGGAGGGTCGCAAAGTCACTCAGAAATGGAAAGCGAGAACAACTCCCACACATCCACGGTCCTGAAGGCATAGTCTTCAGAACGGAGGATAAGGTCGAGGTTTTCGCTGATGGCATGGAAAAACAGTTCTCTCCCAACTATGATCTCGATAATGACCTCGACGAGGAACAGCACATCGTACGATCCGTCAGGAGATATTTTAGAGCCAACGGCGTTAGCGGAAGCACTGAATCCTCTTCAGATGACTCTTCTTCAGAAGATTCGTCTGAGGCTCCACATAGCACATTAGCGGAGCCCTCCGAGTTTCCACATTGCACACCAGCGGAGTTACTACGTCATATTAAAGACCTCAAGGTGCATAAAGCACCTGGGGAGGATCAAATCACTAACAAGGCGTTGAAGCTGCTCTCGCCGAAAGCCCTGACTTGGTGACAATAATCAATGCGACGCTAAAGATCCAGTACTTCCCTGCTGGGTGGAAGACTGCTGAGGTCATCATGATTCCAAAGAAGGTGGGTTCGATATTTCCTCAGGATTACCGTCCCATAAGTCTGCTGTCAGCTCCTTCTAAGCTCGTCGAAAAGGTGATTTAACGTCACCTTGAGAATTTTTCGTCAAATCACCATGTGATTCCTGACGTCCAATTCGGTTTTCGGTCCGAGCATAGCACCGAGCTACAGGCAGTCAGGCTGGTGGAGCATGTAACCAGAGGGTTCACCCTCAGCATGAGTACTGGCATTTTGCTTTTAGATGTCTCAAAGGCCTTTGACAAGGTGTGGCACGCGGGCCTCCTCCATAAATTAATCCAAAAGGGTTTTCCTTTTTGGCTTCTAAAATTACTGAAATCCTTTCTTGAAGAAAGGAAGTTTCGGATCAAAATTAACAATGTTTTGTCAACAACACGACCAGTACGGACCTGTGTTCCTGAGGGTTCGGTCCTAGGACCAATTCTTTATTTGCTTTTCATCCATGATGTCCCTTCCCTCAGCAATTGTGAAGTCTACCTCTATGCTGACGACACTGCACTTGTCGCCCAGTCGTGTACTGGTGATCTGCAGGCTTATTACGTAAAAATTTCCAACTCTAATCGATGAGCAACCGACCACCAACCGACTTGCGACCGATTGTCGACCGACCGAAAAATTCGTATTCGCTAAGGCAGTTGGCGACCGGTTGCCCAACTGTCATTGCATGCAATTTGAATGCAGTTTTTGCGACCGAACAGCGCCACTAGCAATCGAGTAGCAACCGGTGGAACTAAAGTGACATACATATGATAAACAATCGTCGTGTTTATAAATCGAAAAATAAATACATTGTGGATCGTGATTGTGAATTTAAAATTAACTATGGGACCTAGTTTTGTTGAAAATTGAACACGTACGTATATAATACGATGGTCTGTTCTTAAAAATAAATGTCTGTGTGAGCCGCAGATGTATGGATATTTTCATAAGTCAAGAGTGGCCCCTTGATACACACTTAATATATACAACAGTCATTTGTCGACAAATAGATGACACAGTTTCACATAGATTACCTTGAAGACTTATCTCAATACAGAAAGAGCGATGCAAAATAACGCAAGGGTGAAAACAGCTTATTGACAAGTGCCAGATGTTTCTCTAAATCAGGGCTGTCCAACATACGGCTCGAACTCCTTTCTTGCAGCCCGCTTCATGTATACCATATAGTATAGTATATACCTATTAAAACTCAGTAATAATGTTGTATAGAAAGATTTTATAATGCGGCACTCCAAACTGCATTTTTTTTAAGTGGCCCTTGGGCCAGATTAAGTTGGACAGCCCTACTCTAAATCAATCAGCACTTGCTGGCACTTACCTATATAGTTCTAGATGACTACTTGTTCATTAAAGGCTGCAAATGCATCAGAAAACGTGAACATAGTGTTTATTTGTGTTTGAGATTTTGTCTGACTAGGAGGTGTTTGTGTTAATTTTCAAAATGAAATATAATCTCAACATTGCAAATCGATGAGGTACTTGTCTTTGCAGAAATTCATCCTAATTTAGCTAAGGACAGTGTTGGGCTTGGAGGGAGATCAAAGGAGACAATTAATAGAAAGTGGGACGAATTAGCGATATGTCTGAATACTCATGGATCTGGAGCTACAAAAAATGGACAATGCTGGAGAAGGGTGAGTTTATGTTACATTTTGTTATTCATCCTTTTGTCATCGCTAATTCATAATTTTTATAATTATGCTGAATCTTATTTTTCATTATAAGATTACAACCTTTTGCTATGGTCATTATTCTGTTGTATCCCTCTTTTCATTAGATAAATTCAAAAAAGTTGTAGAACTTTTCACAGAAGAAAAAATGCAATGTTGATTAATAGAAAATTATCTTTAACAGTGTAATAGCACAATTGTTCCCAAAGACTACGTTTTCACAATATTCTATCCAAAACTTTTTTTTATTAAAGTAAATTGAGAAACGATGACGTTTATCCATTTTTTCAGTAATTCAATTCTTATTAGATGAGACTTTATATGGAACTCTTTTGTACTCTACGGGTAGAAAATAGTTTATTTGATTCAATGTATTTGTATTTTTCCAAATAGTTGCTACCATCTTTTAATATTTGCCAACATAGTTTACACAGATTCCATGGGTCATTTTCTTGGATTAGTACTGTAGGTTATAATAAGGCATTTTGTTCCATGTTCCATATGGTTTTATTCATGTACTAATACAATAATACATTTTTACAGTATTGGATAGACCTTAAACATAGGATACAATCTAGAGCTGCACAATATAGGCGGGATGCTACAGATACTGGTGGAGGGTGCTAATGTTGATAACTTATCTGAATTAGATATGGCCATATTGGGAACAGCAGCAGTATTTGAAGATACTGAACTTCAAATTCCATTTAGTGTAAGTACATAACCCCTGGATAAATTTAAATGGGATTAATTTTAATTAATGAAAAATCAGTTTATATTCTCTATCTGTATTGCCCACTTAGTTAAACCACATTTAATTTGATTTTACTTCCTGGCACATCATCTTCTAACACTTGATCACAAGTACAAAGTTCTGCTTCAAATGGAAAAAATACAAATTTTTATTTTAATTTTTCACGAGTGATGATCTTGTTTTAGAATGAAAAATTGCATATGAATTCAGTTTCTAGTTGGAATTGCTTCATAACTTCAGATATTAATTAAAAGCTTTTTGATTTTCAGAACCAACTCCTTCATCTTCAGCTGTTGAGCCACCACCAGATATAGAATTACAAATAGCTAGGCAGGGTGCACGAAAGTTGTATGCAGGCAGAGACAGCATTAATGCAACTTCAAAAATTTCACAAGAAATTTGATCAAGCATCTAAGAACTTCCAACCTGATTGAAATTTAGAAAGGATAAAGTATTGTTATGATTATTGTTTACTTGTGTGACCTAATCTTTGTCATTTTAATAAAAGATATTTGCACAAATCAATTTACTATATTATTCCTATCGCTGTTTTGTAACAGTGCCCTATTTTTTTGTATTAAAACTACTTCTCTTAAATCATTTCATAAAAATCACTGACTTATTTTTTGTAATGGCACCTCCAATCCATAAATCATTTATAACTCTTTAATACAGTAAAAAGTTTGTCTCTCAACATATTTAAGACAATACGATTTTTTTATTGCATTTAAAATAATTACTTTACAAATTGACGAAAATAAAATAGGGGTGTCATTAAAAAAATTGTATTTGTAGAAATGAATTTGATACATTTTCTAAAGAGAATTGGTCCCCATTAGAAATACATTTAGCGATTAGTACTAATCTTCACAAGCGGCGATGTTCTAGGCTGTTTGAGTGATTGTGGAACACGAGTTTTTTTTTGAAATTTTTACGATTGTATTTACGTAGTACCATTAATGCTTAAATTGATAAAAAAGTTGTGGGTTCTATTACAAAAAGGAGGTCAGCAGTTTTATAACTATATTTTAAAAAGGCAGTGCTTTTTGTTACAAATGCATTTTGCAACTTTTCTTGATCTTCACTCAAAGCATACTTTTAGGCTTGTTCCAAATCCTCTAAAATAGATATTGTTGAATATGGACATGTGAAAATAAACTTTCCTAGAAAACTAATTCTATAAACATTAACTTTTTCTTTACAGTGGTTGATAAAACCTTTTTAAAGCAGAGCTATCATTAAGCATATGACAATGAATACTATTTCATGGAAATTTAAAATATTCGATACAGTAGATAATACAAACTTTAATACTCCTGTGCATAACTCTATGGTATTTCTGGTAAGACCGATTCTTAATGGATGTGTCCAGAGTCACCTGTAAAAATATATCTTTCATTATTACTCATCTTCAAGCAGGCATATAACAATAATTACAACTAAAGTAAAAAAAAAACAAAGTAAATATTAGTGCTGAAACTGGTATGTTGCCTAAAATATGTGAAATATTAAGACTCAGATTTGTTGCTGTATTGTTAATCTTACAGATAATGAGTCTGAGGTATTGATCTTAGGATCGATGAATATTGACTTATTACTCTTGTTAATAGGAAATTTCAACTTCCACAGCGATGGAATTTTTATCAGGTAATGTAAACTTCCATGTGTTGAAACTTTTAGATGTAGCTGAACTCATTGGTTTTTCAGTTAATGATCCACCATTTAATTTTGATATGCAATCTCACTTGCTTAATATGCATGGCAATATAATTACTATAATCTCTAACAGTGTTTGAGGGAAGTAAATATGCTTAGATAGAATGTCTGGATGATTTAATGCATCCACCATTTCCCTTAGTGCTTTGGATACACTAGGTTGACTGAGCCCATGTAAATAACCCATGCCAATATGTTTCTAGCAGAAACCAGTGGCTAGCACCAGAAGTGCTGCTAATACCTAAAACCAATATGTTTCTATACTGTGGTAGGAAGGTGCAAGTAAGCTTATTTGATAATCATTATGAACTTCAAGTCATAGATATTGAAAAATACGTCGTAGGCGAGAAGTTTGCCGTCTTTGATCCTGCATTCTTTCGCTTTCCAATGCTTCCATAAGTAAAAATGCACGAGCCATCCAGAGAATCAAAATTGCTGATAATACAAATTGGGAGCATACAATCACTTCTTAGACTCGTAAAGCTATTTTATTCCTTATTTGAACTTGTTATACTTACCTTTCTTGTTAAAAAAATGAATAGTTTTGACCAGAGATAAACCCTTCTGGTTTTGACAATGTTATCCAAACAAAACACTAGCAACCGACTAGTCGACTACCACAGAGCAGTTGTTAATTTGACAGTTCAAATCGCTAGTAAGTTGCTGTTGGGTCGCTGTCAATGAGTTAGGGAATACCAATTTTTTTATACCCCTAACAAAAGAATGCACTTTTCGTTCACCAGTTGCTACATAGAGGCGCCACCGTAGCCGGTCGGCGATTGAGACGCACTGACTGATACATAATACGAAATTTGCGTTTGACAGCAACTATCGACCAACTTGAGTCGGTTGACGGTCGGTTGGAAGTTAGGTAATAAGCCTGCTGGTTCACGATGGGTTGCAGAATGCGGTGGACGAAGTTGTAGAGCGGACGGAACGGCGGCTGATAAAAATTAATCATTCGAAAACGCAGGCTATTTATTGTACCAAAAAACGTCGCGGCCCCCCAGCAGAGGTTTCTGTAGACGGAAATCGTGTACCATGAACAAATTCTGCCAAGTATCTCGGTGTCACCCTTGATAAAGGCATGACCTGGCAGAAACATACAGCATCCATAAAAACAAAATTCCAAATTGCGTTTCGGCAACTATATCCTTTGTTATGTAGATCCTCCAAATTGAGTTTGATAAACAAAGTTCGACTATATAAAATGATTATTAGACCAGCCGTTACTTATGCATGTGCGGCTTGGTGTTTTCTTGCCAAGACACACATGCAAAGTCTTCAAGTACTGCAAAGCAGAACTTTGCGGTCAATTTGCTACGCTCCATGGTATGTCTCAAATCAGACACTACACAGAGACCTTGACATTCCTTACTTGAGGGATTATGTCAAGCTTCAGGTGCAGCGACGTTATAGTCAAGCGGAATCGCGCAGCAACCCTCTGTTGCGTGACTCAGTGGACTACACAGTTCGTAAACATTCAAGGCCACGGCTCACACTGTAATCAAAAGTTATCGTGAATCTTTAGTAAACTCAAAATTACACAAACCGAATGAAAAAAACTTTGTTTAGTTCACCTCAAAATTAATCCGTGTACCAAGTCAAAAAGCCTATGTGTTTCCTCTTAAACTAAGCATATCTGTTTTTCTTTGTTCTTCTCCTTTTTTCTTCTCTTTCCCTTTCTCTTTTTCCTTGACTTTGTCTGGTTTCTGGGCAACCAGGACTGACAGATTCGACTAACGTACATCAGACAGTGACTAATGGGCAAAGGTCCTACGGACCGCCCAGACAAATAAATGACGAATAGTAACGTCAAAGAAACCTATAAAATGTCATCTTGCAGACTAGGGTGCGAACAGTTATTCCACGTTTGCTCACTAGGATTGATGTGAGCGTCCATCTATGGAGCAATGGCTCAACTACACGCAATGTGGGTTGCATATATCTCTGAGAAGACAGTTGGTTGAATAACAAGATCTGATCTGGATGATTATGTGTATTGGTCTTCATGTGTATACACTAAGTGATATTTGCTGTGTGAGAAAATCATTATTGAATATGCTGCCAATGAAGTATATCGATAGCTGTACATGACAGGCTATTTATATGTCGTCCTTTCTGAAGATAGGTTATGTTCAAAGTTAAAATTATGATTTTTTACGTTTTTTGTGTTTTCAAAAACTTTGAGGAGAATTACGGGAAATTACCATCGCACCCGCGTTGTGTCTAATTAGTGTTAGTAGCATGTATATGACTTGTAATTTGAGTGTACAGTGAATATAATTGTTTCTTATCTCTCTCGTTTTTGAAATCCTGCAAATTTGCAGATTGGATAAGAAAAAGTGGATGCACAAGTAATTTGTAGCTGTGCATCTCAAGTAAGTGTATTTGAGACAAGAATCCTAAGGAACTATCATCTACACATATTACTGGTGCACAAATCACTAGGACTATAACTAGATCTCTAGTAATGCCATCTCTGAAGCAGATTTTTACATCTCATCGGAGCCACACACTGATAACTGAAGCCTCATGACGTTTTGGCAACACGTACAACTACAAAACGAGTTCACAACGTGTCCATCACCTAGTACCAACTT